ATATCAAGCTTTACTGCAGGAATAAAGAAACATTTGGTGGCTTCACACAGAAAACAGGAGGAATGACATTTGTTAATAAAGTGATCTCCAGCCTCTGCTTTCAAAATGTTCTCAGTAAATCACCTGTGTATATTTCCATTCTCCTTTCACAGAAATGAGAAGCTACACCATCTTCAAGAATCTGTGCAGCACTGATATGACTTAGTTCTACATTCTGGAGATTGCCTGCCTTCTCCAATCACTTATACATTGCCTAATTTTGTTTCTGTTGCTTCAACATTTCCTATGGCAGAAGGTTTTATGGTGATTCATTACAAAGCATATGCCCTAGTTTGAGAAGAACATTTGTTGGCAAATAGGACCTGTTGCATTTCTGCCTTCTGTGCAAGTCACAGGCACAGAGATGCTGAAGCATCCCAAGTGTAGCAGCCAGGTTGCAATTTAACATATATTTTGCATACAGTGAACAAGCTGTACTGGGAGATTAATGGCTGGACATGAAACAAGTCAAGAACTTAAAGGATTTGCTAAATTTCTTCCTTTAAGGCTAAATTTAAAGAGTTCACTTGATGTAACAATTGCTGCAACCCAGCAGCCTTCAGCTCATTTGTCATTCATCTCACTAGGAATTAGGTTGTATTAATCTTCAAATACTTAGAAGGCAAGAGGGAGCAAGTGTTGTTTGCTCCCACAAATCAAATGGGAACTCTTCCAGGTTTTAAGATTGGCCTTAAGATCTTTTTATTTTGGTCCACTTTTTGATGAGGGTTTTTGATGACAAGCTTCAAATATCTGATGTTGAATTTATTATTTTATTATCCATGTATTGTTCTCCTTAATTGAGTATTGCTTTAGTTGTTTTCAAATTTTGTTATGCTGCTTTAGGAAATGTTAGTTGAAAACCATCATATAAATTAGTAACAATAATTTACTAATTGTAGGACAGCAGCTTTAGATATTCCAACAAGCAACTCCTCTCTTCTGAACTCTAAAAGCTGCCAGATAACTGGGAAATAAGGCCATATCAGTCTTGCTTTATGGAACATAGACTGCATACGCAGGGAACACCTGGGGTAAAGGGCAAACCTTAAGCATTAGTGTGTTCATTCAGAAAACTGGAAGGAAGTGGCGCTGAGGATGAATGCGCCCATTGTTTAACATTTATTTATTGTTCTAAGACATGTGTAGAATTAGTTTAAACAGTGCACATATTTTGTTTAACCACACTGTCAACTCCTGACTTGCACATTCATGAGGGAAGTTCTGAGGAGGTCACAACTCTACAATCTTTCAATATTTATTTTACTTAATTATGAATCACAGAATTGATGTATAGATCCTTATGCCATTTTGTTAAATTAAAATGAACAAAATGAATGCAGTGGATTTTTGCTTTGAGTAAAACATCCCCCCACTCCCCGATGAGAAACCTTCTAGACTGATACTATGTTTGGCTGCATCAGTTCTCAGGAGTCTTGTTATGTTTGCGTGATGCATGCTGCAATCCAGTAATATGTCCTCTCCTTAATTAACCACAAAAGCTGTGCTGTATAGTTTTGTGCTTTCCTTGTGTAAAGCTACTTACTCTGGATGAAGTCCAACAAAAAGACCTCTGCTCATGCAATGGAATGTTCTTCTCCTGCCTCCTGCAGACCTAGGATTTACTCCAGAAAACTCCCCTATGGAGCAGACCTGGGAGAACTGTAGACTGTTGCAGGGAGTCGAAACAGAATTACCCCATTGTGTTCTGTTGTCAAAACTGCTCCATCAGTGGGAGGGGCTGCCCAGATACAACTCCATGTGAGGACTGAATATAGAGTAACAAATAGACTGCCCTATCACACAACTCTGAACACATTAATCGATTGGAGAGCTCTGGTTCTTTCCAAAGCAGCAGCAATAGCTATTTTTATCCAGCCCCATATGCACTATCTATGATTGTTGCTTGTAAGAGAAAAAATTGGAAAGCTATACCTATATTTACATGTTTGGGGCAATTTTTGCCTTCTTCCTTCCTAGACCACAATTTCAAGTTAGATGTTCTGCAATGAAATAATCTCTTACTACCACTAGTGTCAACTCCCTTCTAAATCCCACACAAGCAAGAGTTGCAAATATCCAGTGCCATTAAGGATATTAACCCAAAAGCACGTATTTCACGGAGGGAAAATAAACCTAATTTAAAACTCTGTGCTCTCTCTCATCATGAGCCAAATTCTACAGTTGCCCTTTGGCCTGTTATGTCCCAAGGCTGCTGACATGATTTTACTCAAAAGGCTAGAATGACAAAGCCAATAACAGTCCAAGGTTGCGCTATTCTGAATGGACTAGACAAAAGCTGATTGCCACCACAGATGTTCAGACCATCTTGTTCATATCTTCTCACTCTGCTACGCATGGCTGTGTGTTTGTGTTTCCCCTCTCACTCACTCAATTTCTGTCCAAATCCTTAGCAGAAAATCATTTCTGCAAGGCTGCAGCTGCCAAACTCTAATGACAAAAGCCTGCCAAGTAATGAAAGTTTAATGACAAACCAGAGCTCAACACACAGAGAACAAAATGTTCCATGCTGACACAAGGGCCACTCTTAGCTCTGCCCACTTGTGAAATGCAATCATGAAAACTGTGCTCCATTCAGAACTGCAGACCTATTCCTCCTACTGCATACTTAAAGTATATAAGGGTTTCATGAGATGTAAGAGTGAAAGGCATGGTTTTTATTCTTATGACAGGCATGTGAGGGTAGGGTCTAACACTAAAAGGAATGTACAGGTGAAAGGAATAGAAATGTGTCCCAGGCACATTTCTCCCTGCTTGGCTCTGAGATGAACTCAGATTAAAAATGGCCGGGATGACTTGAAGTAAGGTAAGAAGTTCAGGAGAAGCAGCAGCTTCCAGCTTTTATATGTGAATGAGGCAGTGTCATCATCATATTCATTTTGATCTATGTTATCTGCAGTTATGCTGAAGAGAACTCTCTTTGCTGAAGGGTTCAGATTTAGGAACATGCAAAGTAAAGAAGAGCAACAAAGCAATTTAAGCAATGAGAACCTTAACCATAAGTAAGGTATGGATTTGTTCTCCAAGCTCACTTATATATTAGCCTAGGGCTACATACCACTGCTTATGCTCCTTGAATGTGTGCAGGAATGGATGGGTCTTCTACATAACTTTTTTCTCTTTTACTGCATAAGGTTACTTGTCATTTACACTGGTGGTGGCACCTGCTGGAATGTTTCTAGATGTCAGCAGCATTGCCTGCCCACTGTCCATCCCCTGATGTAGTCTGTGACCCTACTCTTGGCATGAAATTTTGGGTGCGGGTCTTTCATTTGCAACTGCAGAATCTTTCCATTTCAACTTCCTTGCCTTCCCTTTTCACTCGGACCCTATCCTCTGGACACTTGTATTTACAATGCACACCACATGTGCCACTCCAAAAGTCTGCTTCACTGCCCCCCGTGGGTTTAGTTAGTACTGCCCCTATAAAATCAAGCAGTAACCCTTTTCTTATTTATGTACAAATCTCATGACAGGGTTGGGCAAAAAGAAGCTTCCTGTGCACAAGTCGGTCTGGTCCATGTAGGGGCTGCTGCAGGCACCTTGTGCAGAAGCTGATGCAGCACTTGCGCACTTTGAAGCCCACTCCCATCCCACCCCTTGCTGCCCATCTGCTTAGGTATCCCAGCCAAAGCCTGCCAACAAATGAAAGTCTAATGCCAAGCTGCAGAGGTGTTCGCTTAACTGGGAACATTTTTCATAAGCACAGTTGATTAATCAATATGATTAAACAAAATTTTAATTTCTATACAAGTTAACTGTATTAATTTCTCTAGAACTAGATATGCATGTAGTTCTGAGCTTGTACATCCTTGTTTTCCTTCTTATTCTTTACAGCTATACCATCTGGTTAAACATAAGCAAATGAAAATTACCTCCCATGGATCCTAATGAAAGGGGCACAAAAATTATATTGTACTCGCTTGATTTAAAAGAAATATATCTTTAAACAGTTGTTGAGACTTTTTTTTTAACATAGAAGATGCAGACAGTAATTAAAAGGTAAAATAGACTACTTGAAATATAACTGCTTCAGAGATAATGTAGAAGGCATGACCTGTAATGATAGGCTTTATCTATGAAGAGAAGGCAAACAAGGGCTTATGCTGGCAACAGTCCACACAGGACTTTAGGAACTGCACAGTGAAGATCTCAAACTCTGTTTGTAGTAACAGATATCTCAATGTAATTTCTAGAAGTAGTTATGTACAAAACTAGAAATAGATGGGGAATAGACATGCATGAGAAGTTAGATTTTATCTGGATTTACCAAGTTCACCCATTCTGGGCTCAACATAAACTGCAATCCAAGCCTGTGCCTTACCAAATATGTGATTTGCAATGCACTGGACAGCATGATATAGTTGAAAAATGCACACAAATACATCTTAATCAGTGGGAAAAGAATGCATATATTTCAAAGATGTACATCACTGATACATACAATTGGAAAAATATGCATAGATTTTCATGTGAAAAGAAAGAAAAACAGAACTTGCAATCTGATAAGTATTTGAGTCAGAATGAGCTTTGTGAAAACATTTGAAGAACAAATTGGAAAGTACCAAGTCCTGGCTGAATCTGGGTGAGAGGTGAATCCCTGGTAGCGCTTCATGAAGTTCAAGTTGCACTGTCAGAAGGAGGTGGAAAGATCATCTTTGACAATTTCCCCTTCATTTCAAGTCCCCAGTGCCACATCCCACACTACTCCAAAAGTTTCTCAGGTTTGGGAAATTCTTCAGAGCAGCTTTTTAGTTAGTGCTTTTTCATTCCTCTAGTATGAATGAAACTCCATTAAGCACTACTTCTGATCTAACCCAGGGGTTCCAACTAGTTACTCTTAGCTGATGTAAAAAGCAATCAGTCTAAGTAAACCAAATGCACCTGTGAAATTATAACTACCTATAACTCAAGATGAGTTCTTTAGTCATATTACTTACCATATATGAAGGGAATATCAACACCCGCTTGTGCTTTCCACATGGCCACTGAGGATCATCTAAAAGATTAGGATTGTATTCAATATAGTCTCCCAAGTCACTGCCTATGAAGAATATCAATAAACATAAGCAATTGCAGGATGTGTAAACCACCAAGACAAACTTACAGTCAAATTATAGAACACTGCCTTAAACTAGCCTTTCGGCATCCAAAGTATGGTTTTAAAACTGTGTGGGTTTGTTGGGCATGAATGCTGATGCAGGCTATAATAACTGCTTCGGAATGAGCAAGATGGTATCAAGGGTGGAAGCAAAAAAGCAACAGATTTAATTAGATGAACCAATTAGAAGTTGTGAATGGGAAAAGACAGCTGGCTTCTTCCCTGAAAGATCATAAAGTAATCTATAAATTTTAAAACCGATAGATATTAATAGATATCAAGGCAGATGGTATACAAACTATTTATACTGTTCATGATAAAGGGTCTTAATGGGGATGGAGCAATGGTAATGAAGGGCCTGTGCTGCACTGAGAAGGTTTCCAACATGACTAGATATTGCCAGCATTGCTGTCTACTGACAAGAGCCTCCTGGAGTTGCTGCTCCTTTACACCATCACAACCTGCTTGTTTAGCTCCTTGCTCTGGCCCAGACAACAGTGCTGATTAAGGAAGAGCAGCAGATGACACTGCCTACCTGTCAAGCAAGCAAGTGGCACAATGATGACAAAGAGGATATGGGGAATAGCAGATCGTGACAGTGGTGGTGAGAGAGCAGATTCTGAGGGAGGGTGACTCATTTGAGCCTTCAAAAACCTGAAGCCTGGGCTTTTGTCATGGTTCCAGGGTGCCCTGAGTTTCTCGCTCTGAGCTGCTATAAGATCTCCCCATCTGCTTTATCAGGGTCAGCAACTGCCTGTAGATTATGGGACAGATCTCTGGGCCTTGTGAGAGGATGCACAGTGCAGGAGATGCCCAAAAACAACCCTGTTGGGCTATTCCATAAACAGCCAAGATTTCAACTGCACTCTAAAATGCTACCTGTGTCAATGCTCCCTTGGGTGCTGTTAGCCCTTCCCAATGAAAGGCTACGATGGCTTGCATTGCGAAATTGCGAGAAGGATGAGGTGGATTCTATGGTGTTCCTCCGTGCTCCCAAGGCATTGGTTGGAAAAAGAAACTGGGTGTAAGAAACAGTCTAAGCAAACAAGACAAGGGAAAAGAAACATACAGTTTCACTGCTCCACAACAACATGTGCTTAAAATAGATTTACAGAAAATATTTGCTTTATGATGCAATCTTATGCATGACTACTCAGAAGCAAATCCCAGTATTCAATACAGCTTCTTCTCAGGTAGGTGGCTAGAGGATTGTAGCCTTAAACATATTTTAACAAGGCCTCAGCTAGTGCTCAGAAGCATCTGTTTTAATTATGGGGCTCAGTCACAAAACATGGACAGAGCAAAAAGAAGAACTCAACAGAGCCTGGAAGAATAGTTTTCCCTCACCATATTTTACGAGTCAAATCTTGGTTGTTTTGAAAGCATTCCTTCCTAAAGGAACTAGAGAACATTCATGGATTTTTCACTTCTCTTAGGAGGCTAAGGTAATCTGAAATTTGGCTCAGCAGATTTTGGTAAGAAAACTACCCTTACCTTCCCATTAGCTCCTAATTCCACACCTTCAAGGCCAACTATGTCTTTGAAGCAAACTCCTGCGCTAGAATGAGATTGCCTCCCACCTTCTGTTTTCATATCTCTGGGGAATAGAAGCCAGTGGTTAATATACTTTGTATAGGAATGTATGGAATCTTGCATGTGCTATCACATCTTCCCCAACCCGATGCCCTCCAGATGCACTGGGCTGCAGCTTCCAGAAACCTAGGCAGCATGGCCACTGACTATGCTAGCATTGGGTGATGGCGCTTCTAGTCCAATGCATCTGGAGAGTGACAGCTGGGGAAGGTTGTTCTAAAATAAAAGTGGAAGATAACTAATACAGTAAACCAGTTAATTTATCTTCAGATTCACGTGAAATTCCAACCTGCATTGAGAGAAACATTTGAAAATAATAAATTTTGCACTTTAGTAAATGTAGAATACAGAGATTTTGGTTCACTGATAAATATTAGTGATTTATTTTCGTTCTCTAAATCTGGCGTCAGTGACTTTGGGATTTTTACCCTCCCACCAACCCCCTGCAGGCTCCACCTTCCCCCTCTGTGATACAGATTTTTTAATGGTGTTTCGAGTGGCTAGAGAGCACCAAGGGGTTAAATTTAATTTGCTTGCAAGCTAATTTTGACCTTTTTGGTATTCCATAGTAGCTACAGAGCAATAAAACGGTAACAACGACATAAAGGGCTTTGAATACCATTTTAAACATTTTACTGTTACTATTTTAAAATTTTGGGTGGAAGTAGTGGCCACATGGTGTCCCCCCTTGCTCTAAAACACCTTTAATCTGAACAAATCCTGTTCTGCAAACCAACATGATGCATCTTTACCCATGGCCTGATTCAAGATTTTCTATTCACAATGGTTTTTCCACTTCCTTCATTACAGGCACACTCTGTCACAGTCACTAAATATATTTTTGTGCATAGATAGTCCCTTGTAATAAATGGGGTGGGAATTTGCACATTCAGAGACGCACACACTATTGTGTAAAGAATTAGGAGAGGTCATATTAATATAATTACATCTAACATGTTCTTTTCAAACTCTTCTCAACCCTGAACTGGGATTAATAAAAGGACAAACTATGCCAACCTGCACCCACACTCAACAAACTCCCGGTCTCTATTGCAAAGTGCCTTCAAGAGGGGGCACTTTGCAATAGAAAAGAAGGGAAGGGGCTGCTTAAGCCTGGGAAGGAGAACATTAGAGCTGGTGTCCCAGGCCAGCCTTCTGGGGTTCCCAAGTTGTCATCACTACCCCTTTCTCCCAACCACAGATCATTTGGTGGTTTCCTGGCTTTTGTGCAGTTTTTCCCCATTGTAAAAGTTTGAAATGCCTCTCCTACAACTTACTTAAGAACGTTCAACTACACACCAGCTGATCTTTCTTGCCGCTGATCCCACCCACCAGTGGGATGCAAACCCAAGTTCTTCTCTGAAATTGAATTTGGATCCCACCCTTCTTGAAGTACTTCTGCATTTTCCCAACATTTTTTCTGTTTTTTTCATCTTTACAGAAAACATTCCTTAAGGAAGAAAACATAGGACAGATGAATAATGCCTTTTGCTCATTAGCGCTAGGAGTCTCTCATCTGGAAGCATGCTCTGTTTACTTATCTATCTCTTGGTGAAATGCAGAGTTTACTCTTGCAAAGAAATACTATTTAAAATTTCCTTCTTTGGATCTGAGGAGACTTTCAAGTGACAATTTAAGGTAATAAGAAACTTTATCTGGTACTTAGTAATTGTTAGCATCTTAAATAACATGCCAGTCCATTAGTAGTAAAAAACAAACAAACAAACAAAAACAAAGAACAAAGTGTTTTAAAACATGTAAAATGTTCCAAGATTTTATGTTTTCAACAAAAGATACTGTGCTGCAAGTTCAAAAATTTAATCGAACTAACATTTCTAAATAGAACAAAAGGGAAACTACAAGATAAAATAACATCTAACTGGGAAAACACCTGTTTACTCCCCAGCGCTATTTCTGCAGCGGGGAATCCAGAAAATAAAATATATTGATTTTGTGGAAAGGGCTTGTTTGTAACACAACAGCTGATGTGTTATAAACTGCTTACACAGTTTTGTATTTATACTCTATTAGTTTTGTTTATCACACTCAGAGATAAACTACTGCATCATTCTTATTTTTATCCTGATCAAAATACACATATATTCTATGGCCTGGTTTGCATGGTTAAGTCATGTTGGCATGTTTTGATTTCTGGCACATGTTGGGCTCCATTAACCTAATTACCTGCCTGGCCATAGCTTGTAATCTTGTCTGAACCTGAGCAGCATAGCTTGTAGAGTGGCAAAGAACACTCAAATAACTGTTGTGCAAGCAACTGCACAATCTCTTGTGCAAGTCAGTATAGCTTTGTTAAACTAGGTATTACTTGCATTAGATATGCTACTTCTGATTGCTGTTTTGCAATTGCTAACAGAACAATGCCAACTTGTGTTTTTTGTTTTGTTTTTGCTAGCATAACAGTGGATACCATCCAATGATTTATGCAACTTAAGCAGGATCAAAGTATTAGATTTGCACAATGATAATGTATCTGCAAGCAGAAGAAGCTTTGCATTAGCAGAATGGCATCAATGGAAACAAGCCCTGTTCACATATACAATATGCAATGCAAAAGGCAAATAATTTCAACAGGGAATGGGACAGATATTTTTCAGGTTTGATATTTATGTAAAGGGAGATTTTTAGACTTTTCTACCCTGCTGTATTTTTAAAGAAATGTAATCTTCTAAAGCTGGTATTTGCTTTGGGAGAAAATGTCACATTGGTGTCAGAAGGGGATCTCCTCCCAATGGAAGCACTAGCTGCAGAAAAGAAAGTTTAGATTTTTCCCTGTATATCTGCTTAGATCCTTATCAGCCCTCTCCCAGCAGATGGTATTTGTATTCGTACAGACCTACATGTGAAATGCAAAAACACATTTAACAGCTTAAGTAATTTGGCCCTTAAATGCTTTGGGAACAAATGGACTACCCTTTTTGCCTACTTGCAAACATTTGGCTGTCAGAACTTCAACTACATTTATGCCATCCACCCATGCATCTTTAGCTTTGTATAACATCCACTTGTCAATCCCATCCTTGGAACTTTTGGTTCTTACCATCCATCCCTGGGGTTCTGGCACTTGGCTCTTAGGCGAAGACTTTGTCCCATATATGGCAGCCAGTCATGTCATACCAACAAGGAATGAGCTCAAATTTCTCTCATCTTACCAAAATTAAACTGAATGCATTTGTTATCAAACATAATATTTGATATCAAATTGACTAATTTTGCCCTAATTTCTTGGGAAAATATAGGAAGTTACTGAGTTCTACTCAGCTGCAAACACCCTTTTCCCAATACAAAATTATGTTTAGTTTTGGAAGATCTCATTTCTATAGTTATCCAGTAATAACAACACATCTGTAAAGAATTTGCTTTATATCATTATTTATATTTTTGTCCAAGTATTTTAATATGAGGAATCTTCCATTTTTGTAAAATACTGCTAGATTTTAAATTGCATTTGCCTAACAGGAAATACCATATTTTTTGCTCTATAAGACCTACTTTTTCCCCCCTCAAAAGTAAGGGGAAATGTCTGTGCGTCTCATAGAGTGAATATGTGTGTGCAGTAAGTCTGTCAGATGTGCAGCCCATGGGGAAGTAATGGGGAATGTGCCTGTGATTATGTGCCCATTTGATTCAGAATATTTTTTTTTCTTGTTTTCCTCCTCTAAAAACTAGGTGCGTCTTATGGTCAGGTGCATCTTATAGAGCGAAAAATACGGTAACTTATTTTGTTGTTAATTTTCTTGTGAATGAAAAAGTTGAAAAATTGACTGAATTAACCATACTGTGAAATTCCTTGTATCTTTAATATTTGAGTTGTAATTTATGTAATGCAGAATTATACCTGCAATGTGAACATCTACATTATCTGACTCTTCTAGTTAAATTAATTTACTGTACATCTGCCAGGCAAGTTCACATTCAAACCGCTTCAGTTTAGCTTAAGGCATGGATCTTGAACTGTAACTGCCTTAATATCCAGTTCCAGTTTTGGAACTTGGTATGCTGGTTAAAAGACAGAAGGATTGTGCTAGATCTCCTGAGCACATATTTCTGTCTAGGCTGGGTACAAGGACCACCACAAACTGTTGGCTCTGCTACTAATGTGCAGTTCTGAGAAGGTAATGCTAAGGAACCATTGCTTGGTACCAATGGCAGGACTAAAGATGTTCACAAGCTGTCCTTATGTCTTGAGCAAGCAACTGCAATAAACATACCACTGGCCTCTTATTAACATCTGTATTATGTATTTACTAATATTGTTACACAATGCCAAGGGCTGGTGAACCTTTAAAACCATATACAGCTTGGGACTGAAAAACCATTAAGGATCATCTTTCTTATTCCTTTTGAACCTGCCTGTGTGCCGACACCTGCCAAGGCTTTTTCCCAAATTTTATTTATTTATTTATTTATTAAAACATTTTTATGCCGCCCCATTCGCCGAAGCCTCGGGGCGGCTTACAACAATATGTCCCAACAAAATGTCCCAACAAAGCGGGCAGAAACTATGCAAAGTCCTTGGTGGTTGTGCCTTTATGCAATGCTCTTGTCTGGAAGACTTACCTAATCCCCTCACTTTTACATCTTAGATTCTAGGTCAATACTTCTTTTAGTTTTCCTGAGCATGTTATAGTTGGCTTATGTTTGTTCTTTGTATCCTTTATTACCTGCTCTTCAAATAAAGACTTCTATATAAGGAACAATTTAGCTGCTCTTGCAGCTCTGACAATGTGCTTGTTACTCTGCAGGTACACCTCTGCATCTATGACCTTGTTTTGCCTAAAACTCCAGAGCAGAAAACAGAGATTTAGGGAGCTAGAAGGTAGTTGAGGGGGCTCAGGAAGTGGCATGACTTCTTGCTGGAGGGGATGGGAGTATACCCATAGAACAATGACACCACCATTCAAAGATCACAATCAGAGTTGGGGAAAACAGTTTATCAGAGACATGTTGGTGGCAGTATACAGACATTGCAACTACTCATAGCATAAATAAGAAGAGAAACCTATTTCACTGTGATAAAATTTCTAGTCACAGTACAAATCTCTTGGTCTAGAGCATGCCAGATACTGATAAGGCAGACTATAAATCTCAAATACTGCAGAGTAACTGCAGTTCCCATTAACTTTGCTAGGAACTGTAGATACTGAACATCTGCCACAGGCAAGCATTTTCTAATTAAGTTTATTCCATTACAGTAATCTCCCACCTTTATTCCTCTTGCAAGCAACTCAAGGTGGCTTTATAAGGTTCTTTTCATTTTATCCTCACAGAGCAATCCTGTGAGGTAGGTTACACTGAGAATCAGTGACTAGCCCTAAGTTAATTGGTGACTTTGATGGCTGAGTGGGACTAGAACCTGGATTGCCCAAGTCCCAGCCAAGCATTCTCACCAGTGCACAACACTGAAGACTGCATGTAACACATAACATATACATTAAAAAGCCTCAGTGGTATGGAAAAAGAAATATTTAGAGAGGGAGAGACACATACCCAACATGGCTGCAGTCCCGATATGGCAGCACTGAAAATATGCTGCAAAAGGATCTTCTGCCACTAATGAGGACTATTCTAGAAAATAAGTAAGATAAAGATATAGAATAGAACATCCAGCAATTAAATTCATTTCAGATTTACAATTCTGCTTGGCATCCCCACCAACCTCCCATATTTATTAATTTAATTCTATACCACCTGATAGTCAAAAAGACACTTGTTTCATTATCTGTTTTTTTTTCCTCTTATTGTTCCTCTGTAGATTAAAGGGTTTTTTAAGTGCTAAAACTAATCCATTCCTGCTACTAAACTACACTACATGTTGCTCTCACTAGTATCCAATAGTTGCTCTCACTAGTATCCAATAGTTGCTCTCACTAGTATCCAATAGTATGGCCAGGCAGTATGAACTTGCCTAGCGCAGGAGCTATTGGGTCTTGAATCATGTGGCCAGGCCTTGGAAAATGGACGGCAGGTATCATACCTACAGTAAGAGAAAAGGGGTGGGGGTAGAGGGCCCTCACACACAGCAGTGCATGTGCGGCAGAAGGAAGTTTGGCCTTGGGCCAATGAATATTCATATTCAGGATGACTTTTGTTCAGACTGAACCAACTCTAGATTCAGACTGACAACAGGAATAATGAGTGAAAAACATAAAATGGAAATCTGATCCTTTCAACTGAAGTCTGAACAGGCAATGTTCAGTCAATGTTATAACATGACTGTTTAGTTTGAGTCTTAAAAGTAATATATTTAAGAATGAGAATGTTATAAGAGGGGGAAAAAACTATCTGGCCTTGGCCATTTCAATTTGTACACTGGCATAAAGCCTCCAAAAAAGAAAATCGGTCATATTTTTGTCTTTGACAGGGCAGCCTAATGGGTCAGGCAGCTGTTTTGCTTCTTTCTTTCTTTTTTTAAACAGAGTCCAATGCCAGAGGTGGTTGAGAAATAAATGGATCCTCTAGGCCACAGTTCATAAATGCTACAATATTTGGAGTCTGCTAGCATATGACAATTCAACCACTCATACATTAACTGAACCTAACATCAAACAGATGGCTTCACTCTATTGCATTTTCACACAAAAATTACACTAACTACTACTGTTCAGAGCAGTAATTAAGTTTACAAAAGCCAGTCTTTTCAGAACATGCAGTCTAATATCCCCAGGAGGCAATGAACTTGGTATGAGATATGCAAGGCTACCAACTGGACATGCAGTTGGAAGTAAGAGCAATATGCTGTGAGGATGATCTCAGTTTGATGTTAAGCTATTAGAAAGGTTTCTTTAAGCAAGCAAGGAATGCATAGGAACTGCACATCAAGAAGCACTTAAAGACTGAACTCTCCACCTTTCAGTTAGGAACATAAATTACTATTGGCACACACTTCCAGCAGCAGAGAACTGGAACAGGAGAAGTGGGGAAAAAGCATAAAGCATCAGAATACAGAAGATACAGATAGCGATCAGCCATTTCTCTTTAATTAAAAGGTCTTGTTATTTGTGATGAAATTGAAAGCCTGGAGATAAAGCAAGCATCTAATTAGCTGCAGTTACTATAAGCAGACTAATATACAAAGGTATTGCAAAGCTTTTTCAGTCACGTTAGTGGCGTGAAAGATCTTTGAGACCATATACTAGGTGCAAAGGGGAAAAAACCTCAGAGAAGGGGCGTAGCTCATGGTCAAACATATGCTTTGAATGCAGGAGGCCCCAGTTCAATCCTCAACATTTCCACTTAAAAAGGATCAGGTAGCAGGTGATGTGCAAGCTTTAACTGACTGAGGCTCTGGAAAGATGCTGTAAGTTAGAGCAGGAAATGCAGGGCTAGATGGAAAAACAGTCTGTCTCTCCTGCTGTAAAGCAGCTTCCTTTGACACAGTGTGCCTTTGAAACAATGCTCCTACCCCCAAAGTGCAAGCTGGACAACATGAATCATGTTGGAAAAAGGACTGGCCAAAAAGGTCTGTCCTTCTGCTGAGGCAGAGCAGCATTTTCAGAATGACAATACAAACATAAATAAATTAGCATTGGCACATTTCATAAACAAACGGTATTCCTTATTTTTCTGCCACTGGAATTCTGTGCTTATTGTGAATGGCTGACAAGACTACAAGAGAGCCAATTATTAAAATGAGCTCTCAATTTTTCAAAGACATTGCAGCACTAAAAGCAAAATGTTACAGGTTGTTTTCACCCACCCACAGACACATCTCCTTCAGACAGGCTGCTAGCACTAGCTATACCTTCACACCTCCCCACTGGATTCTGTGATGAGTGGAACACAACATGAGCATGAACTTGTCATTTCTCTCAGAGCCCTGTCAACCATGTTGTGCTACAGTCCTTATGTTCCTATGGTAATGAACAATCCTAACTTTTACTGTACAGGGTACAGATCCAGTGGCAACCATTCTAGTGGTTTTAATATGCTGCTCAGCTTGCATGCTTCAGGAAGCAGAAGTGACTCTCTGGATATGCCTTGATTTGGCTTCAACAGGATTCTTGTGCAGATCCCATTTCTATGTGAAAAAGTCAATCACTTTGGAAAATGGGTGGCATAGAAATATAATAAATTACTGCTCTGTACTGTAAATTACGGTAATGCCACATTTCCCTCTATACATACTGCAGTGTTCTATGCTATGCTGACAAGGATGCTTTGCCTGTAAAATACCTGCCACTCCTCATATCATTCTGTCGCATGTTCTTGATGAAGTGAACCTTCTTGAAGTTCTTTGGTCTGGGTGAGCCTGACAGAGTCCGGCATCTGAAAAATAATGACATTCAAACAATGAAGTTCTTCACTGGATAGCTGAAATATCTCAACACAAAGGCAGGAAGGAAAGACTAGACAAATTATTCAAGTAACCCTTCTCACCACTCCAATTTAGGAGTCTGCAGCAATAATAAAAACAACTGAAGTCTAGAAGGCAAAGATACTTTAAAAACAACAACAATGAAACAATACATTTAAGAAGAAAAAACAGAACTTCCTGGATTTTGTTACAGCTTTTATTAGGAAATGCAATTAAGAAAGGAAACATCATTTTTCCATTTCCCCTTAAAAGAGTTTTGTATTACTGCAGCTTAAAATATCTGTTATCATTTCTACATGTTCAAAACACTTTGCAATGGTCAACGAAAAGTAACTGGACTAAGCAAGGAAGAATTTTCTAAAAATATTGTTTGTTTCCTCTTTTTCTTCCTTCTCTTCAACTTGTGCCAAGGCAAGAAGTAGATCTAGATCACCAAAGAAGTAGCACAGACTCAGTGCCTGGTTTGCAAATCACAATAACCTAGCGTACAGGCTGAGTATGGGTTGTTGTTAAACTCGGAGTTATTGTTATGTTTGACCACCGCACTATGGATTGCTAATCATGAACAATCCAGAGTTCACAACCCAACAGCAAACCATATAGACTTCATATAGAATCTGTTTAGATACACAGCCTTGAAAATCCAGAAAATCCACACACTAGCCAAGTCAGTTAAACTATCCTAGGATAAGAGGGTGATTCACTTCACATGCCAGACTATTTTCTATATTCACTTTCTAATTTTTGTAGCACAGAGAGCAGATTGCTATATATTTTTCTAAACAAGATGGGTTATAAATTAACATTTACATTGCCTAGGGAAGAATAGGTTGCAGTATTATTATACATACTAAATTACTAAAATCACTTTTAAAAATCAACACACACAGTCTTGACATTTTTACTAAATTAGAAAATGTTACATGGAGCAGCATCCAGTGTGCCACAGTGCTGACATAAATTACTTTGTGCCGGTGCAAGGGACTTCTAGTACAAAGGCAATAGGGTAAGGTCTTGCTACAGGTTTTTTAGGGAATCCCATTGTGTAGCAAACACTATCAATGTTGTGCTTAGAGGCCCGTGACACCAGAGCAGTGTAATTTATTGCAATACTAAAATTGCATCGGTTATTTCCCATGATATCTTGCTTATTTAGTTATAAGCCTTTAGTTATTTATAGGAAACAAATACTCAGAATCAAGAACTAGGAAAATTACAGAACTCAGGTAGTGCAAAAAAGACAGAAGTCAACAAGATCAGCTAGGCAAAGTGCTCTTTCTAGCAATGTAAAGATTTCCTGGAGCCAGAGGATAGGCTCCAGGGTCAGCAATTACTGATCAGACCATGGCCTGCAGTATCCAGTCTGATGATAATAATGTGATAATCTTGTGCCATATTTATTATACTTGGCCTCAGTAAGGACATTTTCACATGGTTCTTAAATGGCATAGAAAAGCAATGTAATGTGTTTGATGGAGGCTATTGAATCAGTTTTAAAGAGATTCCAAATATAGGTTTGTGTATAGTTAAAAACAAATTTACAATACATTTATTTAAAAATAAAAGTACATTTTAAAAACTGTTAAAAAGTCCACAGCTGATTTCTTGTTTTTATGCAGCTATGTCCCCAGATTCAATTATTCCTCTGCTGAAAATGTTCTTGGTGAAGAGAAGAGAAAAATCAGATATACACAGCTGCATGTAACACGTGGATAGCAATCTTCTATGACAGGAATAGGATGAAGGTAGATCTCCAAATGTTTTAAAACTCAACTCCCATTAGCCCCTATCTACTTAGCCAAGGGACAGGAATGCTAGGAGGCATGCATTAGGCCAGAGAGATGGACCATGGAACCGCACAGAACTGCACGGGAGCTGTATCACCTTCGTGGAGATCTTAAATCTGTCTGCTGCCTTACAACACTCTCCTCCTTTAACACCTTCCTATTCCTATTAGCTGCCACACTAGGTTCCAATTAAAAGAAACCCCACTGTGAACAGAACTCTACTGGAAATTTAGCCTCCAGTAAACAATTTGAAATAGTAAACATTATTTATTTATTTTGGCAATTATAGCTACATAGGAATTATTTATGAAGGCTGTTCATAATGTTCTCATGAATCCCAAGTTATAGTCCGTATAAAAACAACACAGTCTTGTTAATAGAAAGGTTGCTGTAAATCCTGTCATGTATTTCTCCCTACCCCTCAGGAGATGGGAAAGACCACGCAAATTTCTGTTCAATTTGACAAGCTACACATTTAAATAAATAAATAAGCAAGCAAGCAAGCAAGCTGCAAATTCGTGGACTGTGGCAGGAAATAAGCAGCAAGATGACTCTGAAGGAATCAGGGAGAAACATGGCAAAAGATCCACCATTTTTCAAATTTTGGTGTTTTGCTGAGGCCAGAGCAGTTTTTCAACCCAAGGTGGTTCTTTAAAATTTCCCTTCCCTGTGAAAGCAGTACAGAAATTAACTGTTCCTGCTCCAGGCTGGAGTAGTTAAGGTCTGACCCGCTTGGTAGAAGAAAAGAAAAACATAGAGGCTAGACTAGATTAGATTCTCAGGGATATAAATACATTGTTGATACTGTGTAGAAAAACTATACAGATACTAGGTATTGTTACCTCCGTAAGGGTGCATTTTCCTCAATGTCTTCCAAAGTCTCCAATGAAGACCGCTGGGAAATCAACCGACGTCTATGGAGGGAAAAAAAACAAAGCACAAAACAATTCAGTATTGAAACATTACACAAACATCCCTACACCAAAAACAAAAAGAACTTGTTTTTTCATGACAGAGCTGAACTAAACTTTTTAATTTAAACAAAACAACAAAAAGGGGTTGTCTCCAATATGCCATTATCTGGCATGATATCGTCTCCAGTATCATGCCAGAAAATGGGAGCTAGTAGACCTGGATTTCCCTCCTTCAACCAACCAATCCTCCTGAAAATGTTGCACAGAAGTTTTGGGGGACCCTTCAGAATGGGATGAGCTGTGGTACAGGGGATAGAGCGGAATTTCCAATTATCATGTGAAGATGTCTTTCCTGAGCAGGAACTTTGTCCACTGATATCACTGGATATAATTCCGAATAAAATGTGTCTGCTTGGATGTTCCACACTGCTCTGTACCATATTAGTTACCTAATAGGCAGTAACTATGTCCTTCTAAATGATATTAGGCAAGTATTATTTCAGGCAGAGGAGGAGACAGGAGCAACAATGGTACAGGTGGCTGCAGCCTGGGCCCAAGTTTGACCTCTGCATCTCATTTTGATCTATCTTTAAAAGTAAATGGTTGCTGTCCAGCCTACAACTTGGCAGCCATTCTCATCAGAGCATCTGTTTATGCACATCAGTTCTAAGAAACACACCATATTCCATTTCCAATAGTACTTGAATACAATCAAGCAGTAACATAGTCATACAAAATCTAAATGAACATGTAATGAATCATATTTCCTCCTTTCCAGTTCTCAGCTGTTCAAACATTTCATGCTGCTACAGAAGGACCGCCTATGCAACAAATAAATGTTCTCCTTTGCAACTCTGGAAACTCTGTAGTATAGCAACTCGGAACACCCTGCCACAAGGTACAATGCTCTGCAACATGGTCATTAGTCATCATTGACAAGTCAGTCATCTCCTCTCTTCTTATATTTCTTTGGCTTACTATTCTGATGCAAGAGCAACAGCAAAAGGTGAAAAGAAAATGAGGCTGAGGACACACACAGCTGCATCATAGAGTAGACTGTAAGAAATGAATGCGGAAGGTGTCATGCTGAGGGTGAAAGACTATGAAAGAGGGAAAATGTCATTCTGACCAAGAACTTAGCCTGCTGGTTCTAATTCTCATGGGGTGATATTCACTTATCAAAAGTGTTCAGATGAACTCTGAAAGCTATGAAAGAAACTAAAATGGAGTCATTAATCCAAGCAAAATGACAAGCCAAACTGTCTGTATTATTGCAGACTAAACAGACAAGTAAATATGTGCACTTGTGCAGGACTGGAAAAAGCTCACAAAAAATGAACACATTTGTGTACTTCCAAAGCACAGAATGGAAAGAAAGATGGTGGAAGTAACTGCTCTGTAAAGAGGTCATGATGTGAGGCTGGGGGTAGCCAATAAACTCCCACTTGCCAATTGCATCTTCTCACATCAGTTCTTCAATCAATACTTGTCAGTTCCACCTCCTCACCACTTCAGTATTTCTCTTGACCTTAACTCCAAAAGTGGCATCTGAAAGGACAGAGTATTTGGATGTGCTTACTGCTGCAAATGGGTGTAACTGAGAATGGGTGTAACTGCTGCAAAAATAGGGTCGTCTTTATTTTATTTTCTGTCCTTTGCAGGAGAGTGAACTGAGAAAATTGGTTGAAGTAATGTGAGGGGATGAAATTGACAAGTGTCATTTCAAGAGGTACATCGGGGATACTGACCTGCTGAAGAAAGTAAATACTGCACTTGTGAAGAACATGCTAAAAAATAAACAAAGCTGTATACTTGTGAAACACTAATAGTAAAAACAAAGTTGTGCATGGAAAAATTGCACTGACAATTGCAAGAAGCAGAAAAGGATTCTCTCTGTAGCAACCAGGAAACTAGAGGTGCTGTGCTGCAAAAGGATCACAGGGTATTTTCAAGGACTGGCCAGAAGGACTAAGGGAGAAATAAACCATGGGAAGCCATGGGAAGTTCAACTGTCTGTTGGGACTAACAATAGGTTAACAACAGATCCAGTGTTCCACAGATCCAACCAATGAATCCACTGTGGCTTACTTTCAGGGTGGCTTATCATGGCATGTGAACTGGTCCAATGACTATTCACATTTCAATTTTATTTACCTTGTTTCTTAGGTTAAGGTGCTAATGTGAAGACATTGATACAATATCAAAAGTATTTGGTTGAAAGTAAAATACTGATTATATCCATTTTGAATACAACTTCGAAACAGAAAGCAAGCTTCTTTACAGGACTAACTGAACTTTTTGCCTGAGGTGTGTCAGACCTACACTCTAACAAAATTCTAATTCTAATTATATAATATGGAACTGCTTTTCTTTAAAAAAGAATCAAACTGTTCTTTACACATACTGCCTGCACTAGGCCCTCCAAAGCAGAGAATTAGGTCAAAACAGTAGTTTATTTCACATTATTCAGAAGATTCTCAGGACATGATCATGGTAATGGAACAGTCAGGGAGTAAATAACTGGTTTGCTGAACACACTGTGACACTGCTGTAATTCTACTTACTGATAGAATCAAAAGATTTCAGGCTGGCAAATAAAAATAAGCAACTACACATGGCTAGAGGGTTAAGATCAAAGTATGACATCATGTACATTTATTACATATTCCACAAAGAATCACTGCTTGCCAGTTACAACTTTCATCTCAATCCTTTCCAAATGCAAATTCATCTCTGAAAAAAACATAAACAACCTCAGTTAGGATCTAAAATATTTAGCTCTATATAGTAAAGGGGTGTGGAAGTGAACCTGTAGCTGAATCACAAAACAAAAAGAAGTTCCTACCATTACATGCTTCACATATCTACTGCTAAAAAAGGACATCTGTTGAGCTAACAAAGTTAAACCTAGCATCCATGATTTACCTGAGTTCTACAAATATGCAAAATTTCACACCAATCCCATTCAGATTGCCATAGCTAAAGCAAGTTAAAAGTGCTGAAAATTGACATTTGTAATTTTTACTTCTAGCTATGGCTCAGCATAGCACAGATTTCTTTCAAATTCTGGAGAAATCTACCAAAGTATTCTTTCAGGCTTGAGGAGGTGTGCTTTTAATTGATTTGATGAATTTCTAAGCAACAGTTCAAAAATGGTAATTTTTTTTGACCCATGAAAGTATATAGCAGCAACTGATGGCAAAATTACCATATTTTTCACTCTATAAGACGCACCTGACCATAAGACGCACCTAGTTTTTAGAGGAGGGATCCATGGAAAGCTTCCTGATAATCACAGGCACATTCCCCATCAGTTCCCCATGGGCTTCATTAAAAGACGGGTTGCCATTTGAAAACACACACCGACCTGTGATTCACAACTCTCACCTGCGCTGGAGGAGGGGGGCGGAGCAGGGCGCGCCGAGTGCATGCCAGCCAGGTGTGGTGCAGCCAGGCCGGCAGCGTGCCGGTGGTGGTCTTCGGGGCGGCGCGACAGCAGGTCTTCCTGGGCGGTGGGGCTGAGCAGTCCATCTCTCTGTGCGGCTGGCGGGTTAAAGCCCGCAGCTCCTCCTCCTCCGCACCGCTCCCCCTGAGTGGCACAGCTCTCACCTGCGCCGGAGGGTGGGGCGAAGCAGCACGTGCCAAGCACGTGCCAGCCACATGGTGCCACGTGGTGCAGGCGGGCCGGCAGCGTCCCGGGCGTCAGGCACACACACATTCACTCTATAAGACACACAGACATTTCCCCTTACTTTTGAGGGGGGAAAAGTGCGTCTTATAGAGCGAAAAATACAGTATGTTAAGCATGCTCAGTTTTACTTTAAAGCTAGAATATTGACTGTATTCCAATTTTTTTTAAATTTCACAGTTCCTGTCAACAATCTGACAGTGACAGAGTGGGGAGCAGGAAACTGCCAACAATGTAAAAGTGGGTAATTTTGAAGTCTGAAGGAATCACTGTTACTGATTGACTCATCGCTGATAAAGGGAGGAAGGAAAAGGAAAAAGCTGTGCTGGAATCCTGTGCAGGCTTACCTAGAAGTAAGCATATGGTGAGGTAGCCATTCATTGTTTTAACCAGGGCTATTTTTGTCATAGAACGCACCTTTTTTTCAATGGCAAACATCATTAACATAATGCCTGCAGGCTGCTATTGTGTCTGCTATCTGCTATTGAGAGATAGCTGCTTGAGATTGGTGTGTGTGCTTACTGCCAGCGGGAGGTGAGTTCCGGCACTTTTTTTTTTTATTTATTACAAAAAAAGTACTGGTTTTAACTGTTATGCATGTATTCAGTTACTGACTTGCAATTTGTTTTTCCATTTATATTTGTGTTCTTTGTTTTTTTTTCTCTCTCTGTAACAATAATTTCTCTTTCTAAAACCAGGAGAACACAATGATAAAAAATCTCCAGTGTCCCAAATTGTGCAGACTGACAGACATGGGTCATCTAAGAGGAAGATTTCTCTTGCAATACAGGAAGATTCTTGTGCTTCACAGTACACTACAGAACCAGGACATGGGGAACTTTACTGGTCGCAGACACTCTATTCCCCTCATTTACATTTGGGCCTGAAAGACTTAAAAAGTTGGGGGTGCATGAACTGTAACTATGATATTGTATAGCACCATTACGGCATGTTAGTTTCAGATTTCTTGGTTTCATGGCATTTGAGCCCGCATGAGATAGCCTGGAATCTTTCCTTGAACATTGAGTATATATTGAATTTGAATTAGGTACACAGCATTTAAATCACACAAACAGATTATTTGAAGTGGCATTTATTTTTATTTAGTTGTAAAGTAATAGCCTTACATTTCAAGTTTTAATATATGTTAAAATTCCACCTACTGCTGATGCCATTGGGATGGAAGATTTTGTGCTAAAGAAACTGAGAACCAAAATAGTGAAAACAATGATGATTTTGTGGGAAGGCAGAGATAAGATACAATTTAGCCTTGATAAAGTAAAACTTCAGAAGAAATGGAGTAGCCTTCATA